TCTAGATAATATATTTATTTTCTTAATTAAAATCTTATAATAATACTAGAAGCAGGTCTGAAGAGTTCTGATTAAATTATAAGATATTAAATTATATCTAGATATTAATAAATATAAATTTAAGTAAAAAAAAAATAAAATATTTTAAATTTATTATTAAGACTGGACAGGGAGTAAGTATAAATCTAAAAAAAATTTATATAATTTAAAAATAAGAGCTATTTATAATAATTAAAGAAATATATAAATTTATTAGATTTACTAATTTCTACTGTTAATTTATATTAAATTTTTCAGGATTACTTAAGTTTCTTTATAATTTTATTAAAAAAAATATACAGTTCTAATAGATTCAGGAATATCAGAAAAGCTTCTTATATTTAAAAAGAATATTTTATATAAAATTAGTATTTATTTTTTTTAATTCTGACAGACAGACTGTTCTTAAAACTAATTTTTTAAATTATAATCTAGAAAAATACTTATTTTAATATAATAAAAAAAAAAATTATATTTATATACTTACTTCTTAAAACAGTTAATATTTATAAAATATAATTATAAGATTTATAATAAGGAACTACTAGCCATTATTAAATATATAAAGATTTAAAATATTAAACTATACTTTATTTTTAAATTTAAAGTAATTATAGATTATAAGAATCTGGAGTACTTTTATATTTTAAAAAAATTATTTAAAAAATATATTTAATAAAACTTTTTTTTTAGTAAGTTTAACTTCTTCTTTATTTATTAAAAAAATATAAAAAATAACTGAGCTGATATACTCTTCTATCAGAATTAAGATATATTTAATTATTAAAATAAATAAATTACTATATAAATCTTCTAACTTCTCTAGCTGGAAAAATACTATAAGATTATTTAAATTAAATTTTTAAAAATAATCCTCATGCCTGCTAGTATAATATTTCTATAAAAAAAATTAAGAAATAAGATAATTAATACTAAGAAATTAAATAAATAGTTTAAAAAAATATCTAGAGATTCTTATCTAATCTAGAATTAAAAGTTTCTATTTCAGAATATATAATTAATTTGTAAAAAAACCTAATCTTTAGAAAATAAAAATAAATCTTTAATTATAAACTTTTATAAATAGAACTAATATAGGAATTTTATAATTTATTAATAACTGGATATCTAGACTAGAAGCAGATATATTTAATAATAAATTAAAAATATTTCTAGCTTAATATAGTATAAGATATATAAATATTTATATAAAACTGTAATACCTGCGGAAGAATAAAAGTTTAATATAAAAAAAAATATAAATTATTAAAATCTTTTCCAGTTTCTAAATACCTGTAGTAAAATATTAATATAAATTTTATTATTAAATTATTAGAGAATAGCAGCTGTATAAATATTCTGGTTATTATAAATTAATTTATAAAAAAAATAATATTAGTAGTTATAAAAGAGATAATAACTGAAGACTTAACTTAAATAATCTTAAATAATTATATATATTAATATAATTTATTATAAATAATTATTTCTAATTACAGGACACAGTTTATAAGCAAAATCTAGAAATAATTATATTTATTAATAAGTATTAAAAAACAGCTGTTTATAGTATATTATTTTTAAATAAATAAAGCTACTGAACAAGTAAATAATATTATAAAAATTTATTTTCAGATTTATATTTAATATAATTAGAATAACTGGAACCAGCTTTTTCTTTTTACTAAACTAGCTATTAATATTTAAATTTTAATATCTATTAATATATTCCTGTTCTTCCTGAGCCACGGATATAAATTATTTTTTTTTAATCTTATTAAAAATTAACTTATCTTATATAACAAAACCCCCCGGAGTCTAATATAAATAAAAGAATATATTATTTATATTATTAAAAAAGCTAATAATTAGACCAGAGTATTACTAGTATATATTTAATAGAAAATAAAATAATAAATAAATTAAATATAATTATTTATTTTAATATACTAGACTAGAAACATAGTCTGACTAAATTTAAAAAATATTAATATTAATCAGCTAAGTAAAAAGCTGGACTAGAAAAATATTAAATATTAAATTATTAAAATATTAAGTACTTATTCTATCTATTGTGACGGTGAGTGATGTCTCAGGGTTACATGACTTCTGTTTTATTTGCTTTATTTGCCTGTCTTATATAGTTTACTTATTTTTATATAATTATATGTTTTCCCTGAGCTTCTTCTTTTCTTTTCTTATACTAGAAATTCTTGTTAGATAATATTAAATTTAATTATTTAATTAATTTCTATATAATTTCTAGCATTATTTTATTTTTTATTTTCTAAATTAATATTATATATTACTAGTTATCTAGCTCAGCAGCTGGTATTACTTCTTATATATACTTAATAATATTAAATATAATTAAGATAAAACAACCTGACCAAGATCTGAATTAGAATAATTAATAAAAATACTTATAATAATCAAAGAAAGCTATATTAAATCAGTACTAAATATTATAAATTTTTAATAATATCTAATAATCCTGCTGGAAGAAGAGTCTGATAATAAAAAAAATATTATTTATAATTAATTTTATAAACTATATATAAAGAATCCTGATAAAATCTTTAATATAATTCTTTATATTATAAAAAAAATAAAAATAAAAATATATAAAATTATCTACTAGCAGAACAAGCTTAATAATAATTATAATAAAATAATATATAAATATAACTTATATATTATCTAATTTTTTTAACTTAATAACTAGAGTAGTCAAGCAGCTGAGATTCCTGAATTTAAAAAGTTAATAAAAATCTTTAATTTATTTTTATTTAGTAATAATAAGATTATCAACTTCAAAGACTGGCTTTTTATAATATAATAAAAGTTAAAAATTAATATAGACTATCTAAATATAGTTACTATTTAATAAACTTATATAACCAGCTACTATAAAGATAATACTAGAAAATATCTAATTTTTTAATTTTATTTTAATATTTTAAACTTCTATACAGATATAATTAATATACTTAAATATTTAAAAATTATTTATATTAATTTAAATAAATTTTATAATATATACTAACAGTATCAGAAGCTTAAAATAACAGTTAATAATAAATTTTATAATTTTATATTTATATTCTACTATCTCACCGTAGAGATAGATATTATTAAAATTTATTAAAAAAAAAATTTTTATTAATATTTTCTATCTAAGTTACAGGAGCTGATAATATTCTGCTTTAATAATAATAATATAATATTTAAATAATATATTAAAAAGTATGTCTGATTATCAGATTTAATTAATAATATAATAAAATATTATAATAAAATAAATATTCTGAGTCACCAGCTGTCTATATTAATTATTATTATTATTATAATTATAATTTTTTTATTTTAATTAAGATCTTTTATAATACCAGCCATACTACTAGTATAGAACTAAAGAAATATACTTATATAATAATTAAAAAATATTATTTTATCTACTAAAAATAAAGATATTTAATCTAAGACTGTCTGAAGAAGAAAGCAGATTAAATTAAATTATTAAAAATAATAAAAAATAATAATTTAATAAAAGATAATATCTAAAAGAAGTCTTTTTTTTAAATAAAATAAATATTAATATTAATTTATTAAATTTATAAGATCTGCTAGGCCAAGAGAATAAAAACTTTATTATTAAAATTCTAATATTAAATAATAAACTAGTAATATTTATATATATTCTTATTAATATTAAAGCTAATATCTATACTTATATAAATATTATTTTTATTATTCAGATAATTTACTAATTCTAAATTAATATTATTTTTTTTAAGATTAATTATATTATTACAGGTTTTAATAACAAGATTATAATATTTTTAATTTATATTATCTAATTTATATTTACAGTTAATGGATACCAGTTCTATAATATATTATTTTTAATATTTAAATTAAACTACTATAATATTATTCTAAAATAAATATAATTTATAAAATAAGAGATTTTATTAGATTACTAGTAAGATAAGTTAGTATAATTTAATTATCTTTTTTTATAAGATAAAATCAAGACTAGACTATTATAATAAATTTCCTAAAATATTTTATTATAGTATCTAATTAATTAAAATCATTAATAAAATATTATTTAATAAAATTATAACTTTTAGAGAATAATTAATACTTTATTATAAATATTCTTTTCTAAAATAAAGTTTAAAATATTTTATATCTATTAAAGTATTCTACAGAAGATCTTAATTAAGATATACTAGAATTTAATAGACTAGAATTTTTAATATTAAATTTTTAAAGTCTCCCGGAATCTCCAGAAAAGAAATATTTTTAAAAAAATTAAAATAATTCTTATCAGAATTACTACTTTTTATAAATATTTTCAGAATCCTGAATTAGAAATATTTATTATATTTTTAAATATAATTAAGAAGGCTATTACAGAGAAGATAGATTTTAATAATAAAATATTTAAATTAATTAAGAAAAAGAAGATAAAACAGACTTTTTTTAAGTATTATTATAATTTAATAAATATTTTTTTTAAAAAAGAGTTAAATACTTTGCCTGTCTTCTAATCTTATAATTATTATATTTAATTAAAAGAAAGTAATCTATTAAAAATAGTTTTTTTTTATAAGATAATTTTAAAAAAACTTAAAATTACCTGTGATTATATTATCAAGAATCTAAAAAAAAAATTTATTATATTTAATATAATCCTGTTTATCTCTCTTATTCTAATAATAAAAAAATCTAAAAAAAGATTATATTTATATATTAATTACTAGAAGCTTAATATCCTGACCTATAAGAATCTTTATTTTATTTTTTTAATTAATAAAATAATAGATTATCTCCAGAATATAAAGATATTTATAAAATTTAATATTTATTAAGATTTCTACTATATTTATATAAATTCTGAATCTAAAGACTTAACTATTTTCTGAATCTATTATAAAATCTTTAAATATTAAATATTATTATTTAAATTTATAAATAGATTAGCAGCCTTCCAGTATCTTATTAATAAGATTCTTATAAACTTCCTGGATAAGTTTATTATAGTATATATAAATAATATATTAATCTTTAATAAAAATAAAATAAAGTATAAGTTTTATATTTATTAAATCTTTAAGTATCTTTAAATAATCAGATTCTAAGTAATAATCTATAAATATAAGTTTTATATAATAAAAACTAGATTTTTAAAATTTATTATTATTACTACTAATATTCAGGTTAATCCTATAAAAATTACTGTAATTATAGAATAATAATACTTAATTACTATTAAAGAAATCCAATCATTTCTTGGATTCTGTAATTTTTATTAATATTTTATAAGAAATTATAGCTGGATTATCAAGCCTATAAATTAACTTATTTAAAAAAATATTTTATTTATCTAGAACTAGTTCTGTAAGACAGTCTTCCAGATTTTAAAATAAATTTTAATATTAACTCTTATATTAGCTTATTATGATTTATTTAGATTTATATATATTAAAATTAATATAGTTAATAAAATAATTATAAAAGTTCTTTATTAATAAATTAAGAATATATAATATCTTATAATTTATTATTTAAAGATTATATCTCTATCTGAGTACAATTATAATATTTATAATAAAAAAATATTAATTATTATATATATTCTTACAGAATAGAAAGCAGAACTAGAAAACTTATAATAATTAAAAAAATTTATAATTTTTATAGATTACTGAGCCCTGAAATACTTTATAATTATTAAAAAACTTAATATCTAGTAAGCCTGCTAGACAAAAATACTATTTTAATATTATTTTATTATTAAATATTAATTAAAAAAAAATAATATACTAACTGACTATCTTATATAGAAGAAGATTAACTCAGAAATAACTAGTAATTATTATTATTAAATATTATTAAAGCCTGAGTTTTTAAAATCTAGTATAATTCTTAATCTAGTACTAATAATTCCTGTAAAATAAAATCTTTATATTATAAATTATATTTTAAAAGTAAACTATACCTATCTCTTCTTAAAAAATCTCTGGAAATAAGTCTATTAGTAAAAGACTAATTACTTTCTGTAAGATAAGTTATTTTTATATTAAAATAAATTAATAATTCCTGATAAAGATAATTTATAAATCTAGTTATTAGATAAAATCTACTAATAACTATTATTAGCTTATCCTGGATAAATAAAGATAATAATATTAATTAAATAATAATATTTCTAGAGTACTTGGAACAGAGATATCTGATATTATATAAATAATTACTTAATTTATAAAAGAAAAAATATATATTAAAATTTATTATCTAGATTATTCTAATTTCTTCTAATTTCTAATTAATTATAATAATATATATTTATGGACTTCCGCTCCTTCCTGAAAAATTATTATAAATTTAATATTATTTTTATAATAATAGACTATCTTAGCAAGTATACAATATTTATTTTTTATATAAAATAGATCTCTGTATAAAATATAATTTATTTATTTATTAATTAAATTTATATCTAGATAAAGCCTTCTGATATTATTATCTCTAATTAAAAAAATTAATTTATAGCTAACTTTTAGAATAAACTGTGCTGAATCCTGTAGATTAAATTAAAGTTTTTAATAATATATTATTTATAAACTAACGGGTAAATAGAAATCATTAATTAATATATAATTTAATAACTTATTTTATTTATTAATTACTTCCAGGATAACTAATTAGAATTATTATTATTTATTAATTTTATTATTATAATTCTGTTTCATAAATTTACCAGATTATCTTTATTTATAATTAAAAAAAAATATAAATTTTAAATATTATTTAACTGGATCTCTCCGGCAGACCTGTTATTTTATATTATTATCTAAAACTAAATCTATGAATTTACTTATTATATAAAATAAATCTAGATTTTTATATAAGATAGAATCCAGAAAATATAAAGCTAGTAGATATAATAAATTAATTAGTCTTATTATTTTATTAATTTTAATATTAGTAATAAAGTTTTTATTAATATTTATAACTGAAAATAAGACTAGCCTTTATAAAAATTATCAGAAAGCTGGTATAGTCTTATATCTATTATTAATAAAATTAATAATATTTATAAGATTTATCTTTCTAAAAATATATATATATATTTTATTTTTTATTCTGAGAAGCTCTGTCTATATAATATATTTAATTTATTATTAAAATAAATTTAAAATACTACTGTATCTATCAAAGTTAATAATCAGATAAAATAGAAAATTAAAAATATTCTAGCCAGCTATCTGTAATACAGTTATTTTTAATATAAAATTAAATAATTAGTATCTGATATAATTAATTATATTTAATATTTAATAAAGAATTTCAAGAATACCCCCTTCTACTTTTAGAATTATTATATAAAATATTTTATTTATTTTAGATTTTCTAAATATCTCCCGCAATAATTAGCAGCTGTAGAGACTGATAAATTTATATTAAATTATAAAAAAGATGACTTATCTCTAGCTAAAAACAGCTAAATTTAAATAAGAGAGTAATATAATAGTAAGTAATATCTTAGAATTATATAATTTTTATTTTATTTACTTTATTTACCTGCCTTACATGGTTTATTTATTTTTATATAATTATATATTCTCTCTAAGCTTCTTCTTTTCTTTTCTCATGCTAGAAATTCTTGTTAGATAACACCAAATTTGACTATTTGATCAGCTTCCACATCTATCTAGATATATTTACTAGAGTTTATAATATATTTTATATAGACTTATTATATCTAGCAGCCATAAATTAATTATTATCTTAATAAAAAAATAATTAACAGTCTCCAGCTATTTATATTAACAAAGAAAAAAAATATCCAGTAAAAGCTATCTTAAGAAAGGCCTGGTAATTAAGAAAATAAAATTAGAGATTTTATTACTAAATTAAATAAACAGACTATATATAAAATATATAAAAACTAGTTAAAATTTTTTAAGATACTACTACTACTCATATATAAAAAAATTCTTAAAAAAAACTATAATTAAACCCAGTACACCCCCACTAAAGCCAGAGAAGATTTTATTAAATTAAATAATAAAAAAAAAAAAAAAAAAGAAAAAGTTATTTAGCTAGTTATTAATATTTTAAAAAACTAATTATTAATACCCCGAAGAACTAACCACTAATACTTTAAAAAATAATAATAATAATTTTAATTATCTATATAACCAGAAATCAATATAGTCCAGTAAATCTGAAACTAAAAATACTTATTATTAGAGATAATCTATAGATTACTAATATAATTACCAGATATTAAGACAGGAGCAGGATTAGTCAGATTATAATTAAAATAAATAATATAAATAATAAATATTATAAAAATTATAAATATATTTATTTATTATCATCCTCCAACGCAACCTTGATTATTTTAAAAAGATAATAAAATAATCTTTTAAATTATAATAATAAAAAATAGAGAGCTATATAAACTTATTAAATATTATATTTAAACTATAAATTATTCCAGAGCTTAGTAAGATCCTAAAATATAAATAAATTTATTTTATTTTATAAAAAGTTTCTGGACAGGCCAGCAGATCAGAGAATATAATAAATACTAATAAAAAAAATTTTCAGCCTGGTAATTAATATAATAAATAAGACTAGAATATAGACAGAAATAAATAAGATAAAACTAAAAAATAAATAAAAGTAAATAAAGCAGGACCAGAGTAAGAATAAAAATTAATAAAATCAAGCCAGAGATAGAAGAGAAAGAAGAAAAAAAAAAGAATATAAAAAAAAAAAAAAAAAAAAAAAAAAAAGCAAGATTACTTTGATTTATTTTATATAAAAAAGATATAAAGAGAAAAGTGAAAAGGATCAAAAAAAAAAATAAAAAAAATAAAAAAAAAATAATA